AAAACCATACTTTGCAGTGAAAAACATTCACCCATCCATCCATAATCTTTACCTGCTTCTTCCTTTTTGGGTCATGGGGGTCACTGGTGCCCATGTCAAGCCATCACTGTGCGAGTGGCAGGGGACACCCTGGATGGGTCTCCAGTCCATCACAGGGACACATAGAGACAAACAACCATTCTCTCTCACACCTAGGGACAATTTACAGTTACCAGGTAGCCTAACATGCATGTTTTGGGTCTGTGGAGGGAAACCTGAGTACCCTGAGTAAACCCACGCATGTACGGAGAGAACATGTAACTTCACCCAGAAAGGCCCCCGGCCGGGCAGCACGAAACACAAATTTCAAAATAGCAGTGTGGAATGATGAGGCACTGGGAAAACATGTGATATGGAAGGAAGTCCACAATGCAGTGCTGAACTTCAGGTACTGGAATGTCTCTGTCTGCACTTTTCGGTTCACCTTTTCCTCTGACCTGTTCAGTTCCCTTTGGTGGCCCGGTGGTTAAACAGTCTCTTAAAATCTGGTCTCAGTTCAGAAAAACACTTGGTCTTCAGGGTTTTTCACTTTTAAGTCCTTTTGCAGCAAATCACCTGTTTGCTCCATTAGATGGATTTCAAGTTTGGCATGAAAAAGAAGTAAAATGTTTTGCAGATTTATAATCGGATGGATACTTTTCCAGCTTCTCTGAACTAACAAAACAGTTTGGGATTGCATCCTCAAATTTTTTCAGAATTTTGCAGGTCAGGCATTATGTGAAATGTATGACACCACAATTTCCCCGTAAACCTCCAGATAACCCTCCTGATGCATTTCTGTCAATCAATCCCACTTCCAAAGGTGTGTTGTCTCAACTTTATAATCTCATCTTCAAATTGCATTGTCCATCTCTGAGTTCTATTAAAACATTCTGGGAACAAGACCGAGGTGTGGGACTCTATTCTGGATCAGGTGCATTCAACCTCAATGTGTGCTCGCCATGCACTCCTGCAATTTAAAGTTGTCCATCGGGTACACTTCTCTAAAGTTAAACAGACGTGCATTAACCCAAATGTGGACCCAACGTGTGACAGGTGTAGGAGTGCACCTGCTACATTCATCCACATGTTTTGGTCCTGCTCTTCCCTGGCTGATTTCTGGAAATCAGTCTTCCACACTATATCTGAAGTTTTGCACTGTGAGACTGAGCGAAACTCATGTCCGCCCTCTTTGGAGTTGCCCCAGAACTAGACTTACCACATTTGAAACAAAGAATGCTTTCGTTTTTATCATGACTTGCCAGGAGAGCTATTTTGTTATTCTTTCATCCTTTTTTCTTTTTTTTTCATTCATTCAATCAACCTTTATTTCTACAGGTAAATCCCATTGAGCCTCGAAGACTCATTTACAAGAGAGACCTGATTTAACAAAGAAAGGTGACAACAATGGACAACAGCTACAACAATAGACAGTTATAAAAAGTCATACTCAAGTTTTTTTGTTTTTTTTAAACAAATAGGATGGCTTAAAAAAAGTAACAAAAACCAGCTGGATTCTAAGGCGACTGTAGAAAACTAAAAACAGGAACATGTCTGCATTGGTCCCTGCCAGGAGTCCAACAAGGTGGAAAGATCCAGCTCCCTCTTCACATTCACACTGGATAAGGGCTGTTGTGTTTTATATGGACTTAGAAAAGAAACATTTACTGTCCAAGGTTCTGAAAATAGATTTTATAAAGCTTGGCACCCCTTCTTAACTGTTTATGAGAAATGTTCTACTATTGTCTCTGAGTAGCTCCCCTCCCCACCTCTCCTTTTTTTAATGTTAATTTTATTTTTATTTCGTCTTTTTTCATATTTGTGGATAAAATATTTTGTGGTCATGGGTTTATCTAAAATGACATTATTTAAGTAGCCCAACATGAAAACCCACGTATGCACTGAGAGAACATGCAAACTTCATCCAGAAAGAAAGAACTTTATGGATTCCAAAGGAAATTGTTGTGCCAGAGTTTTAGTACAAAGGAACATACACAAGGAATTACACAAGATATATATAAAAAAAAAGAGAATATATATTTTTTTTAAATAACAAAGAATATAAAAAATACCAACAATTAAGTTCTAAACAGGTGTAGAGGGATATGGGGTTGGATATATATTGTAAATTATCAGTTATGAGTTAAGCTCATAAGATATGCATTTATTATACAAATAACCTCGTTGTGGGCACCACCTCTCTTTAGAGGAACAAATCAGTCTCTAACCCCAAATTAAATGTAAACTGAAACGTGAATTCTTTTCTTGTGTTTAAAGGTCAAATCAGTTTAAATCAGTTAATACACACAGATATGCCAAAATAATCACAAATTTAGTTGATTTCATGTATTTTATTACAAAAATAATAATCTGTGATATATCTGATGAAGATTATGCACAACAAAGAAATGAATAATGAATAGCTTTGTATCAAAGGTCTACTTGATTATTCAAACCAGTGAAACTTTAAAAAGGCAGATTTTTGGACTGGTTCTGTTTGTGAAGTAGTTCAAATTGTGTCTAAATGAGATGTAGAGTGTGTAAAGCAAGATTATTGTGATGTATGATCACCAGAAAGGCATTCAAGGGTCTCTCTCACCAGAACAAGCTGTCAGAATGTTCCACAACTGCTTAAAATGATACCAGCAAGGCCTGAGATGCTCCGGTGACTGAAAGGCTGATTTTTCCTCAAAGTTCACCTGTCGTCGGTTGGAGGGACGAAGGTCCGGCCACTGGTTCCGAAGTCAACTGGGATTTACCACTCTGCGGTGTGATGTTCTGGTTCTGCAAGGTTTCTTTTGTCCCGTCTCTGTGCAGAAAGGATGCTTCTCTTCCATGCAGAAACTGAGTTTGTTTCAGTTCTGAGCTCCAGAAGCGTGTAGCAGAAGTTGAGAAGTAGATGTGCTTGCGAAGAAGTGAAGACGAAGTTGAAACTTAACTTAACTGTCCAAAAAAGTTCAATCTGGTCCTCTGACCATTAAAAAAAAACATAAAACAAAACAAAGCAAAAAAATGTAGAAACGTTTCGTCTTTCATCCGAAAGACTTCCTCAGTCTGAGGTGCTGTATTCAGCTCAGTCTCTTAAATAGCACCTTCTCAGAGTGGATCAACCAGTTTGCTGCTGACAACCAGAACCAGCTGCTCACATGGTCAAGAAGGACCATCAGCCTAACAATGGATCATTGGCATCAGAAAAGTTGAAGCACCAGATGTTTCTGATATCTCATGTGAGCAGAGTGTGCAGAGCTGTAAAGGACATGTGTAACATGGTTTCTGCAATATCAGCTGTGGCCTCACTCTGCTGAGCCTGTAGAATGACTGTCATGTAATATCGTGACAATTTGAAGAGCAGGCAAAAGCAATTTTTTGTTTAGCTCATGCATATAGAAAACAATTTGTGTGCTGTCAGTCCTAGGAAAAACCCCTCATGTGGACCCAGCAGAAAACTAGAGCACATATCTATATGCTCCCACCAGTACATTAAACCTCCATACTTTCTGAAGGTTTTGTATGTTCAAATCATCCTCGATCCATCTATGACGTTTCTTCATGCACAATTAAAAAACCCACTGGTGTCCTGACTTTGCACATAGACCTCCCCAACACCCATTAAAAACTTCTGACCTTATGGTTGATTTTTCTGGTTATGGCACTGTCTTTATCCAGAGTGAAATGGGTTCAGAGCAGATTCTACTGTATAAGCTACTGGATCACAAACTAGAGAGAGAGTCTCTTTTTTTGTGTTAGGTTAGATGTGAAGATATATAGAACCTTGTAAAGGTCAAATATTGTTCTGATATATAAAACCCTAGAAGTGACACTTCTACTTTATGCAATCAAGTTATATCAGCATGTGACATTCTCATGCCGCCTGTTGCCAAGTTACATCTGTGGCAACCTTTATAGATTTTGACTACAGCTTCTTCCATGCTGCACTTCCATTTTTACAACAAATTGTCACTTTGGGAGGCAAAGTGGCCTCACCAGTTTCCCACAGCATTTCACAGTTATAAGAAATGAAGATTTGGTACCTTTGAACCAAGTACCTTGGTAAAACTTGGTAGATTCTAAAATCTCTCTGTTGCACTGAAAAATTGCATATTTAAAAGCAGAATATAGTTGCTGCTCTGTATGTCAAATACCTTCTAAAATCCATCCATCCATCCGTCCATTATCTTTACCCAGTTTTTCCTTTTTAGACACAAGGGTCACTGGTGCCTATGTCCAACAGTCACTGTGTGAGAGGTGGGGGACACTCTGGACTGGTCTCCAGTCCATCACAGGGACACATATACTAGAGACAAACGAGACAAACAACCACTCACTCACTCACTCACTCACTCACTCACTCACTCACTCACTCACTCACTCATTCCCTTCGTCCCTCCTAGGGACAATTTAGAGTTACCATCAGTCTAACATGAATGTTTTTGGTCTGTGGGAGGAAACTGGAGTACCTGGAGAAAACCCACGCACCACGGAGGGACCATGCAAACTCCACCCAGAATGGTCCCCGGCCTGGATTTGAACCGGCGACATTCTTTCCTAGAGGCAACAGCTAAAGTTGCCCATTTTGCTTGTCTCTGAGTGCATGCAACTGGAAACAGGCTTGGCTGTTTGCAGTAGTTCAGAGGCAGTAGTAAAAATAGAACCAGAATGACAGAGGCTATAAAAGCCTCTGGCAATAGTTTGCTTGTTTGAAGTAGACCACAGCTCATTGCACAGTTTGGCTACCAGTGGACACATAGACATCATTTTAAGTCCTACTGTGGCCTGATGCAGTAACTGTTATGTGGGCACCTACATGCTTCCAGATGTCTTCTCTGTAATTACACCCAAACCTGGCACAGCCTGGTCCAGCCCAGATCAACCTCCTCTTTGCTATGACAGTCCGTGACTACTTAAAGAACTTTCTAACTCTCAGCAGGTTTTCAGAGAGACATTGTGGCTCCACCAACAGAAATCAGAAACAAAGAAAACTGGAAGACGTAAGGTAAAAAAACGTTTTAATCTCCATCATGTTGTTGTCTGTTAAATATTTCTGCTTCACTACATTTTTAATATCAAACTACTAATGCATTATTTGGATTATTTTATTCATCAATGTATCAAAACATTCAGTTCAAGTGGCAATAGCTATAATTCTTTTTTTGTTTTGTAAGGTATGCTTTTCAATATAGGTAATTATTCAAACTAAATTTCCAGTAGACAATGGAATTGAATTTGGTAAAGAAGAATCATTTTTAAAAATCTGCTTTAGCATACTTGCTCTATCTTTTCCTTTTATGCTGCATGAAAGTTTTAAGTTAATAGTTTGGTACTTATATTTATTTTATTGTTTTGCAGTGTTTATTTACTGTTTTTCTACTTATAATAAAGGTTTTCTAACGTTACCATCTAGTTTACTCAATTGGACCTATGCTTAGCTGATTTTATCAGGTTTTACTGATCGCAGCTTCACTTGACCAAACCTTTGTATATGTTTTAATACTTTAACCTTTGTACTATTTGCCAATTTTAACATCAGAATGCATCAGGAAATTTTAACATCAGTTTTGGTTATTTTACATACTCATTTGATAATGTACACATCTGCTTTGCAATTTTCAGATACTATTCTGCTGTTTTTATTAGTTTCTGCTAATATTATTTTAGCTACTTTTATGCTTGTTGTGGTTTTTAGTTTATGTTCTACTGCTTTTAGCCACTGCTCTGCTGTTTGTGTTCTGCTCATTTAGTCACATGTTCTGTTGATTTTAAGGTTATTGTTATTTCAGTTTTGTTATCTTCAGCAAATTTCAGAGAGTTATTTAGCATTCAAACTGCATTTGCACAGAAAATGCCATTTCTGTAGCTTGAATTCAGTGCAAAAAATGATGTTGGTAACCACCTTCCTTTCGTTCCAAATGTAACGGTTTTTGTTATCACTGGGTAGGTTGCTAAAATGTCCATCGCCCAGGCAGCAGCCAAGGCCATGCTCTCTGATGCCCTGCTGCAGGACAGGTCAGGGATCTACAGGATCAACCATCTGGAACTAGAGCTTCCTTTAGACAAGGTCATCAAGTATGTGTCTGTTGGTCTCCCACTCATGTTGGTGTGTATGGCCTTCACTCGCGAGCTCTCCCTGGGTAAGCAACTCTCTGCCTCCAAACTGCTTTTTTAACTCAACTAAGGCTTTGTGTTGAATTTTGTTTGCTTTAGCCCTCAGTCATACCCTGTAATTATGAGCACTTCCATTTTCTCTTCACAAGCTGTTTTTAAGCAGCACTTTCAGAATCTATTCCATAATAATGCTGCAGGTGGTTGAAGTGAAGACATAAGATGTAGAGGACTGAGTGAGATGCAACAGGATGACTCACGGCCTAAAGAAAAACAAGTGTTTGTACTTGTGTTGTAATTATTTGCTAAAGAGAATTTAGTTCAATTCACAACATTGTGCAGATAAAGTAAGTTACATATACAGTTTGTGAGGCTTGATTTAAAATTGTTACAAAGTTTTTATCAAGCACTGAAGAATGTCCTGCAGTTGTTAAACCTAATTTATTGAATTTTCTTCTTTTTTTTTTTTATTGAATTGAAGTTTTGATTACTAATCTAGCAAAAAATCGTACACTGTAACTTTCATTTCTTCCATTGGTAGATGTTATAATGAAAATCACTGTAACTAATGACCCTTAGCTGTTAGGATTTAATAAACAACAGTGAATATACAAGTCATGTAAATGTTGAGGATTGATAAACTCATCCTTGTGTCCCTTTTTAACTAGTGCTTACAGCACTAGAACAACTTGTACAACAGAAAACACAAAAATATAAGTTGACAACTTTCTGAAACAATATTCTGGGTCAGATGAGAAAACTGGAGCTCTGATGTGTCTCTTCAGTTGTGGCTTTGGTTATTGTAGAAATGTACCAACAAATGTATCCACCATTGTACATGTTAATAAGTACTACATATGTTCATATGCAGATGTCCTAAGTGGCTGATTACAGACAAATTGAACAGCAAGACACTGCAGAGAGCAGCTCCTATATTTGCAGATGATGTTACATTTCAGATTTGTTTATTTCGCAGGGCCTCAGATCAGCTGTTTCACACCTAGCAACTTCACAGTTAAACAAGCCAGCTATGTAGACATGTACTGCTGGGACACTCTCATGCATCACGAGTTTGACAGTGATGGGAATTTTGAGGAGCGCTCACTTTGGATGCACAAAGTAAGTTGAGCAATTTTCACTAGGTGTGGGGTTTTGGTTCTGTCTCTGTCTGTTTCCTCGTGTGTCCAGCCCTCAGTGTTTTCCCTCGTGTTCAGCCCCTGTCTCACCTGTGTCTAATGTTAATTACTGCAGGTGTCTGTCATAGTCCTAATCAGTGTGTGTATATATGCAGTTCACTGGTGTCTTGGTCTCAGGATTATCCTTATGGTGTGTGTTTCTGCCCTGTGTCCTGTTGTTTAGTAAGTAAGCTGCCCGACAGTCTTTGCTTTGTTTTTGTATAATAAATATTTAGATTTTCCACGGCCTCCTGTCATCCTCCTGCAATTGGGTTCAACACTCCTGACGGCAGAACACGACAGAATCCCGAGACCAACTTTGAACCAAGCAGGAGGATGATAACCTTGTTTGAGTTTCTGGCCCGTGAGGCGGATAAGACTACTCAACGAGACAGAGAGAAGAAGGAGAGGAGGAAGAAGCTGTTTTGACGCACTTGGCCATTAAACCTGGGTCCTCAACCTCATGGCCACTCCATCCCTCTCCGCCTCGCCGCTACACCCCGCTGCCCACCCCCTCCTCCTCATTCTCCTCCTGGCTGTCCTGCACGATCGGCTGAGAGAGGGGGACGAACTGCTGGTCCTCCCCAAATCCAGCGTGGGAAGGAGAGAGCTTCGCAGGCGAGGGGGAAACCCAGCCCTCAGTTGCCAGTTGAACAGCAGAAGATTTTGCTGGGGAGAGATACCCGTGTCCACGAGAGGAGCGGTCCGGCTCTCACTTGCTGGAGCAGCAAGGGGGGAGTTCGCTGGGGGAGAGGAACCCATGCCCCCTCCTGCTGTAGGAGCAGTCCAGCCCTCCTTCGCTGGAGGAGCTAGAAAGGTGGCAGGCTTCCATAGTGGCAACATATCTGGATCCGTTTCTGTCCTGCCACGAGGAGACCCAGGTGGATGCTCCTCACTCCAGTCCTACAGAAGGGTTCATGGCTCCATCTCCTGCGGCAGTCCCGGTCCCACCACCTGCTACAGTTTCAGCCCCATCACCTGCTGCAGCTCTGGCTCCTACACCTGTTGCAGCCCTGACCCAATCTCCTACTGCTGCAGCTCTGGTTCTGTCTCTGACTCCCCAGCAGCAGCTCCAGACCCTGTCCCTGACTCCCTAGCAGCAGCTCTGAACCCATCTCCTGATGCAGCTCTGGTCCCTGGTCTTCCTGCTGCAGCCCCGTCTCCACCTCCTGCTGCTGCAGCCCCGTCTCCACCTCCTGCTGCTCTAGTCCTGGACCACGCCTCGTCCCTGGTCTGCCTGAGGTCTTCGCTCCTGGCTCATCAGCTGAGGTCCTCGCTCTGAGCCTGACCGCAGAAGATTCTGGCCCGTCTTCAGAGGTCTTTGTCTTTGGCCCGTCTTCAGAGGTCTCCGTCCCTGGTCCATCTTCAGAGGTCTTTGTCCCTGGTCTGCCTTCAGAGGTCTTTGTCCCTGGTCTGCCCGAAGAGGTCCTCGCCTGCTTGAGTCTAAGAGGGCATAGATGGACATCTGTACTACCCCGAGATGGATGGTCCCCTGGTGCCCGCTGGAGTTCTGGCCTGAAGGTGGATGGTTTCCTGGCTGCCCCCCTAATCTCCTGCCTTTTTGGGGATGGTCACCTGGTCGCCCTCCTGAATACTGGTCCTGCCCTGGATGGTCTCCTGACCATCCACCTTGACTGTGGTTGGGGTTCCTGGATTTGGTTTTGTGTTTAGTTACCCAGGTTTACCCGTCGTTTTTTTGTTCTTCTGGTCCTTTGTGTTTCTCCATCTTGGTTTGTCCCGCCTCCCACCCAAGTTGGATGGAGCTTGTCCTTGGGATGTCTGGAACTATCCCTTGAGTGGGGAGTACTGTGGGGTTTTAGTTCTGTCTCTGTCTGTTTCCTCATGTTTCCAGCCCTCAGTGTTTTCCCTCATGTTCAGCCCCTGTCTCACCTGTGTCTAATGTTAATCACCGCAGGTGTCTGTCATTGTCCGAATCAGTGTGTGTATATATGCAGTTCACTGGTGTCTTGTCTTGGTCTCGGGATAATCCTTATGGTGTGCATTTCTGCCTTCCGTCCTGTGTCCTGTTATTTAGTAAGTAAGCTGCCCCGACAGTCTTTGCTTTGTTTTTGTATAATAAATATTTAGATTTTCTACGAGCCTCCTGTCATCCTCCTGCAATTGGGTTCAACACTCCTAACGGCAGAAAACGACACTAGGATCTCTTAACTTACGCTGGTGTGATTGATTGCATTCTGCAGCCTTGTAGAGGGACTGTACTTGTATTGTACTTTTTTATCCAACTAGGGTAACTAAAGGGTTTGAGAACACAATCTGTACACTATTTATCCATCAAAACACATTCATTGACTACTCTACATATCTACAAAGCTAATCTAAATAAATCATTTTCTTGAGACCAGTCATTGTTGTAGATACCCAAACTTTTGTGCCCCATGGACTGGTTTTCTGCAACAACTTTTCCACGAACCCCCTGCAGGGGCACGAGTGTGAGGGAAGGTCACCTTCATAACAAAATACTATCAAGTGGATTATATATATATATTTACATCTATAGTTATGATATGTATTTTTATTATATATTTAGTAATCTCATTTATTTTATTATTATTTTGTAATCTGTTTAATATAATTCATCTGTGACCTTAGCAATGCGGTTAACTGCTCAATATGATTCTTTCAGTTCAGACACATTTATGAAAGTGGTGGGCTTCAATAATTGTCTCTGACCTTTGTGACTGTAGTGAACTAAGCCTCAGGTCAAAACCTGATCCTGGGACAGGAACTGTTATTTCATTGATTTGAGTCCAGAAACACAGATTAAGCTCATCCAGAGACTTTCTAAGTGTGTCCTGCACGGATCAATTGAAAGAACACTCTCTTTCATATTATCATTACTATTTTACAAATGTCTTGATAATCAAAAGTGTGTTTAGTTCAAACCATTTTAAATGTTGAAGTGAACTACTCACTTTAAATCAACTGTGAAACAGTATTAATGATTTTTAATCCTCATTCAAAGTAGAAATCAAGTTAATGTCTGTTACAAGAGTAATGATGCATTTTTGATCTTCTGTCTGAAATGAGAAGGAGTGAGTCGGTCAAAAGTCAAGGAACGGTCAAAAACATGTTTATCGGAACGAAATGTCATGTTTAACTCTCTCAGATAGATAGAAGGAGACTGGCTCCTAAATGTCTCTGTTTCTTCAAAACATCTTTCTGTCTGTTCTTAAAACAATCTACTCTGTCTCCTTGACTTGTAATAACCTCTTACGTCACTAAAACCACACCCCTGTTGGTTCGTTCAACCAATCAGGAAGTTCTCAGAGGAACCGGAAGTGACCTCTTTAAAAGGGTCGACACTTCCTAGTTCCAAGTAGAACAAGAGTTCCGAAAAGAACAAGAGTTCCAAGCAGAACAACGTTCCAGACATGAACCAAAGTTCTGAGAGTAGAACCGAACGAAAGTTCTGAAGTGCTGGAGTTAGTTGGGAGTTCTTTCGAGTCTCGTGGGGATTATGGAATCTTCCACATCTGAGTGGAATTCTGACGGGCTCACAGCTCATGTGAGTCCACCTGGGAGGTGAGCGTGCTGTTGAACGAAGTACTCTCACGACTCCTGAGGTCACAGCTGTTCTTACGGAGACGCTGAAAAGAGTTGAAAGAAAACTCTACACCGGAGCCGAAACTATCGTCTGCAAAGGTAAAAGAGTCGATCTTCACTTGCGAGTGTACCGTGGGTTAAGCTGCGACCAAAGGAGCGTGTTGTTCTGGTTATACAGACACATTCCCTCATCCATCTCTCTCCATTTAAACTTCATTTTCCCATCTTTAAAACTCTTCTATCTGCCAGTAATTAATCCAGATATTTTCAGAAATGTCTGTTGTATTTCAGTTGCAAGTAAGAAATCATGGCCGTATGATTTCTCATTGTAAAGCTCATTAATTAAGCTGTGTTAATTGTAATCAATCTGTCAATTAATGTAAATGTGTGATGTGTTTTAAATCGTTTTTAATTAAACGGCTCACTGTTGTTGGTGAGTCAGAAATTTAAACACGTTTCCGTCCACATTTAATCATTCAAGGCACGATAGAACTCAGTCCAGAAAAATGAAAGAATCCGTTTAAATTATGGATAATATCATACAGGTATCATTCATTACATGATCACACTATTCTTTCTTTCCAAAAACTTCTAAGGGTCATCTTTTCGAGAAGGCAGTTTAGTTTCCATGTGGTGAAACAGTTTTGAAAGTTTCAGGGCTTTATTGGATGATTGTATTTTGTTTTTTATTGAAGAGGCTCTTCAACAATGTTTGTTGTTAATTCATTTTTGCTAAAGTTAGTTTGAGAGCTTAGCGGAGCATGAAAACATGCGACTGAGTCAAGTGCTAAAATTGTGTGAACAGGAGGGATAGTTAAAAAAAACACCATGCAGATTAACACAAATAGAAAATATGAAATATACTGAAGCATGCTCAGTAATCCAGGTAGAAAAATCTAAAAGTCAGGTCCTCTGGACAGGTTAAAAAAAACAAACGTTATAAAAAAAAAAAAATCCCGAAACGTTTCTACAATTTTTAATTTTTGAACCCGTCCAGAGGATCTGACTTAACTTTTTTATTCAATATGAAACTTATTCTTTTTATGTGTCCTGGTACCAAATGAGGTACCGGGTACATTTGCCCAGTACTGGACCCAAGCCCAGTGGATGGAGACTCTTGCTTCAGATCACATTCATACACAAAGACAACACACACCAGAGACAATGTTCAGTGTTTTACTCAGGAATATTTTGACATTTGACTGTCGACTGGAGACATTTAACCTATAGCTCACTCAGTGGAAGACAACTGCGCTCACCACTCAGCCACAGTTGACCTTGTTAATTTAGAGCCACTTGCACATCTGAAAATGTTAGACTACATCTTTAATGAGGACTGCTGCAAAATATCCACACCAGCATGTATAATTTAGTCCACCGTCACTAACAGATGCGTTCAGTGCAAGACTTTTGCTTATTTTTGTATAATAATAATAATAATAATAATAATAATAATAATAATAATAATAATAATAATAACAATGAGTAATGCTATTTTTGCCCATGTTTGTGTGTGACTGTCAGCAAACATCTCATGAACAACAGATTAATTTTACTTGAAAGATGCAAAAAGTAATGTGTGACTTTGCAGTTGTCTGATTCTAAGTAAAAATAATACAGGATGAATTTCTAAAACGGATTAGATTTTGGGGCAGCACAGCGGGGCAGTTGGTAGAGCTGCTGCCTCTCAGCAAGCAGGTCACCCCAGTTCGAATCCCGGCCCAGGGCTTTTCTGTGGAGTTTGAATGTTCTCTCCGTGCATGCGTGGGTTTTCTCCAGGTACTCCAGTTTCCTCCCACAGACCAAAAACATGCATGTTAGACTGATGGTAACTCTAAATTGTCCCTAGGTGTGAGTGAGAGAATGAATGGTTGTTTGTCTCGTTTGTCTCTATGTGGCCTTGTGATGGACTGGAGACCTGTCCAGGGTGTACCCCGCCCCTCGCACTATGATTGCTGGACATGGGCACCGGCGACCCCCATGACCCAAAATGGAAGAAGTGGGTAAAAGATAATGGATGGATGGATAATACAATACAGTGTATTAAACAGCAGCCTTAACATGACTCTATTGTGAGCAGATGGGTTTGAATACAGCAGCTTATGGGTAAGAAATCAGCAGCATTGTTAAAGTGACATATCACCAATTAAAGTGGCATTACAGTGATTGTCCTGGTTATAGATTCATGAGTCTAACAGCCTCAGGGTAGAAGCTGTTCCTCAGTCTAGTGGTTCTACACTTAATGCTCCTCAACTTCCTGCCTGAGGGGAGCAGGGCAAAAAGTGTGTGTGCTGAGTGAGTGGGGTCCTTCATGATGCAGGTGGCCATCTTCCTGCTTCTGGAGGTGTAGATGTTTGTGATGGTGGGGAGGCTGACTCCAACGGTCTTCTGTGCAGCCTTCACCATTCTCTGCAGAGCTTTTCTCTCTCCAGCAGATCAGCTCCCATGCCGCACGTTGATGCTGGAGCACAGGATGCTCTCCACCTGTAGAAGGAGGTGAGGACTGAGTTCCCAATCCAGCTCGCCTAAGCTGCCTGAGGAAGTAGAGTCACTGATGTGCTTTCTTGATCAGACTGGTAGTGTTGTTGCCCCAGCTGTGATAATCATTCAGGTGCACACCCAAGTATTTGTAAATGGAGACCATTTCCACCACAGATCCTCTTGTGGACAGAGGGGTGTCTGCCCCTTCTGAAATTCACAATAATCTTCTTCATCTTCTTCACAATGATGTGGAGGTTGTTCTTTCTACACCAGCTCTCCAGGTGTTCTACCTTCTGTCTATAGCCAGACTCATCATTGTTTGTGATGCATCCAAGTACCAGATGGGTAGGTACACAGTCATATGTGAGCAGAGTGAACAGGAAAGGGCTCACCACACAGCCCAGAGGGTAGCCAGTGCTGATTATGGTGGAGGATGAGAAGTTGTGGATCCTCACAGACTGTGGTCTGTTGGTTAAGAAATCCAGGATCCAGTTGCATATGGAGGGGCTTAGTCTTAGTGTCAGCAGTTTGTCCATCAGGGCCTGGGGAATCATGGTGTTAAAGGCGGATGTGAAGTCCACAAACGGCATACAGACGTAGGAGCCCTTCTGCTCCAGGTGCGTGAGAACAGTGTGGACCACAGAGAAGATGGTTCCTCCATTGATTGAGTCTTGCGGTATGCATAATGGTGTGGTTTCTGAGGCGTATATGGCTATGTTGTATAGGCTAAATCATGCTACAATTTTGTATAAATTACTGAATAGTACAAGCTGGTATTACAGAAGAATTCATTATATGGTCTCGCATGAATTCTGAAAATGTACTTTTAAGCTTTGGTATAGATTAGACACTGATCACACTGCAATTGGCTGAAGCTAGTAGAGCCTACATGGAAACTATTTACAAGTTTAAAAAATAAGTTGCAAACTCTTAAACTAATTAAAATCATAATTTTTCAACTAGCTAAAAAGTATTGAAATCATTGGAGTTAGTCATTAATTATTGACTGATTTCAGGTCTATCATCATTAGTTATACCCAATATATTTTATTTGTACAACATCTAGATGTTTTAATTAATTGTTGTATGAAATTAACATCCATCCATCCAACCATCCATCCATCATTTTTATCCACTTATTCCTTTTCGAGTCATGAGGTCACTGGTGCCCATATCCAGCAGTCACTGTGCAAGAGGCGGGGGACATGTGGGACAGGTCTTCAGTCCATCACAAGGACATTTGGACAGGTCTCCAGTGCATCAAAGGGACACCTGGACAGGTCTCCAGTCCATCACAGGGACACCTGGACAAGTCTCCAGTCCATTACAGGGACACATAGAGACAAATGAGACAAATAACTATTCACTCTCTCACCTAGGGACAATTTAGAATTACCAGTCAGCCTAACATGCATGTGTCAGGGTTTCAATCTGTGCAAGACAGGAACGTACACAGTGGTGTAGGCAGGACTCGGAGGCCAGGTCGTAAAATTAAATACACTTTTAATAAGGAAAGTAGATAGGCTGATGAGGCAGCAAAACTTACATGACTGGATATAAACAAGACAGAACCAGGACCAGGACAGGACGAGAACATACCCAACAATGCACCGACAATGAATAACACAGACCTAGACTTAAATACACAGACTAGATGAGACATAATTACAAGCAGCTGGACAGGACACACAGGTGACACTGATCTGGAAAATTAACAGGACGTGATGCAGGGTGACCACAGAGTGCACCATCCTTACAGTACCTCACCCCAAGGGCGTCCCTTGATGTCTCCAAAATCCCACCCCACATACCTTGGGTGGGAGGAGGGGGGAGCTGCAAGGATGGAGGTCACAAGGAAAACACAAGGACAGAAATAAAAACTCAGGAAAAAAAACTAGAAACTACATCAAAAACACAAGAAACACAAAAATGTCCAAGCGGTCAGGAGATTGTCCAACGGGTTGGAGTAGGTTAGGTAGGCAACTGGGAGGCCATCCAGCACAGGACCAAAGTTCAGGTGGCAGCTGGGAGGCTATCCGAAACACTGGAGCAGGTCGCACGAGCGGACGGGAGGCCATCCAAAACCCTGGAGCAGGTCTGGAGCCAGGCCTGTGGGTGCCGGGGAATACCCAAGTGGTGTGGAGCCCTTGAGGAGAAGTGAGGACCCAGACTGAGGCAAGGACCCAGTGCAAGGTGAGGACCCAAAGCGAGGCAAGGAGCCTGGATGAGGCAAGGAGCCTGGACAAGGTGAGGAGCCTGGACGCGTGGGAACCACCTTGGGAGCTGCATGCAGCATGTGAACCACCTTAGGAGCTGCATACAGTGTAGAGACCACCTTGGGAGCTGCATGCAGCATGGAGACCACATCAGGAGTGATATGTGGCATGGAGAACACATCGGGAGCTGCATGTGGCGTGGAGACTACCTTGGGAGCTGCATTTGTTCATTCAACTTTCATTTATACAAGTTAGTCCCATTGAGCCTCAAGGACTCATTTACAAGGGAGACCCGAATGCAAGCAGCATGGAGACTACCTTGGGAGCTGCATGTGGCGTGGGAACCACCTTAGGAGCTGCATGCGGCGTGGAGACCACCTCGGGAGCTGCAGGCAGCATGGAGACCACCTCGGGAGTTGCATGCGGCATGGAGACCAAGTTCTGCAGGTGGTGTAGAGACCTCAAGTGCTGCAGGTGATGTAGAGACCTCAAGTGCTGCAGGTGGTGTAGAACCCTGTGCATACTCAAGACCTGCTAAGGATGAGGAACCCTCAGCAGTAGGTAGTGTGGACCCCACTGCAGCAGGCAACAGAAAGGAGCCTGCCTGGACCCCCTTGGCAGGACAGGAAGGAGGTGTAAAGACCCCTGGTGGATACTCAGGACCCACAGGGTGATTTGAACCCTCACATGATACAGAGGCTGCAGAGGATGTAAAAACTATGGGGACTGTGGTGGGAGCCACCACAGGGACTGCAGCAGGCATGGGGCCCTCTGGAGACAGAGCAGGTGAATAAGAGTCTGTAACATGAGAGTAAGAGTCTTTAGCCAAGTTTATGTCTGGAGCTTGGGAGTCTGGTTCTGCAGCAGGTGAGTCTGTGTCTGCAGCAGGAGACTCAGTGGGTTCAGAGTTGCCAGAGTGCAACTTTTTGTGTAAGTCTGTTTCCTACAACCAGAACCAATGTGAACAATTTAAAGATGTGCTGAAGAACAGAGGAACAGCTAATCCAGGCAGATTATTGGCACTCAAAGATCAGGATTGGGCACTCCTGCTCTAAGCATGACACACCACAAAATGAGATTGTGCATGTTATTTTCAAGATTTGACTCATAAAGCTGTAACTGTCATTTCTCAACATAAGATGAACTTAACTTAAAACGCTTGTACAAAAAACATGAGATAATGTGAATTACCTCAAGGATTGCCCAGACTAATTATTTCTTATTTTTGTTGCTTTATTGTTCTCTTGTTTAAGGCATTTTTTTCTCTTTGCCCTTTCAGATGTTTCCTTACTCTCTCCTGATCATGGCGGTCTTGATGTACCTGCCAGGTCTAATCTGGCGCTTACTTGTCACGCCAACTCTAAGCACAGACTTGTTGTTCATAGCTGATGAACTGGACAAGTCATACAACCGCTCAGTCCGACTGGCTCAAATCATTCTGGATCTGCACCAGAACACTAAGAATCCACTTACTTTTCAGGCAGAACTTCAGAGGTAAAATGTTTTGATTCTTTTTATTCCCCATATTAACCTGACAAATTCCTGTATATAGCTCTGCATGTGTATTAATGATTTCTCTTCAAACAAAACTGATTAGATTTATGAGTAAATTTGAAGTAGAGTGAAATTTTTCCAAACTATTTCACATTTGTCCACAAGTGGGTGTTTTATTCTCTGTATCCATGCAGGGAAACTATAGTCCATCTGTATCCTGATGCATGCTCAATAATCTGGGTAAAAAAATCTAAAAAAGTTAAATCTGGTCCTCTGGACATTAAAAAAAAAAAAAAAAAAAAAAAGCAAAACAACAACAAAAAAAAACAACATAGAAATGTTTTGTCTTTCATTGAAAGACTTCCTCAGTCTGAGGTGCTGTATTCAGCTCAGTCTCTTAAATAGCACCTTCTCAGAGTGGATCAACCAGTTTGCTGCTGACAACCAAAACCAGCTGATCACATGATCAAGAAGGACCATCAGCCTAACAATGGATCATTAGCACACTGATGGCTGTTTACTATTCACAGGAGGTTGAGTGATACTAGCAATCACAGCATTGTAAGAGGGAGACAGTTGAACAGTAGAATTCCTCTGGTGGAGATGATCACAGCCACAGAATCAGCCATCCGCAACAACAAAATGAAAGAGGGTGAAGCAGAACAGCTCAGAATCAAAGTTTCATCCTGCCTCAGCAATGCCAAATCACCACCTTCCAACATCAGTAGAGAGGAGAGGGATGCACTCACCACTCTTAGCAAGGACAAAAACATCATCATTCTCCCAGCAGACAAAGGAAGGTGCACAGTGATTTTGAACCAGAAAGACTATCATGAGAAAGTTATGACAATCCTTAGTGACTTAACCACTTATGAACATCTGAAAAGCGATCCAGGAAGTGGTTACAAGAAGAAGTTGATAGATTGCCTGAAAGTTTTGGAGCAGGACAAGGCTATTGACCGTTTTCTGTACCACAGACTGTATCCAGGGGAGGCCACACCTAGTCTGTATGGTTTACCTAAAATCCACAAACAAGGTGTACCTTTAAGACCAATTGTTAGCATGATTAACTCTGTCACTTACAATGTTTCCAAATATCTGGCATCTGTACTCATCCCTTTAGTTGGCAGCTCAGAACACCACATACAGAACACCATGGACTTTGTGGACAAGGTGAGGGATGTCATCATGGAGACTGATGAAACAATGGTCTCTTTTGATGTCACATCACTCTTTACGTGCATTCCTGTTGATGATGCAGTAGAGGTGGTCAGTTTAAGATTAAAATCAGACACCACTCTGAGCAGCTGGACCACGCTTTCCACAGAACAACTGTGTCAACTCTTGAAACTGTGCCTGCAGTCAACCTACTTCACATATGGGGAGCAATATTATAGGCAGAAACATGGGTGTGCTATGGGGTCTCCAGTTTCTCCTATTGTTGCCAACCTGTACATGGAGGAGGTAGAAAAGAGAGCCTTGACGTCCTTTTCAGGGACACCACCAAGTCATTGGTTCAGGTATGTTGACGACACCTGGGTTAAAATTAAATCTCAGGAAGTCCAACATTTTACTGACCACATCAACTCTGTGGATAAATACATCAAGTTCACACAAGAAGATGTAAAAAAAAGGCAGGTTGGCTTTCTTGGACTGTGAGGTCTCAGTCTCTGATAGAGGACTTTTGCAAACTGAGGTGTACCGCAAACCCACCCACACAGACCAGTATTTGCAGTTTGACTCCCATCACCCTTTGGAGCACAAGTTAGGAGTCATCAGGACTCTGTACCACAGAGCAGACAGCGTCCCCACTAGCTCAGGAGCCAGGCAGAAGGAGAAATCCCACACAAGACAGGCTCTAGAGCAATGTGGACATCCTAACTGGGCCTTCCTGAAAGAAGAAACCCAAACAGGACTCCAGTCAGCCAACAGGTGAAAAGGAGGAACCCAGACCCAGACCAGTGGTCATTCCGTATGTTGAGGGGGTATCAGAGAAACTGAGACGTTTATTTTCTAAACATAACGTCCCAGTGGCTTTTAAACCCCAAAATACATTACGGAAAAGACTGGTTCATCCCAAAGATCCAGTCCCCCGGCACAAATAGAGTAATATTGTGTATGTTGTTCAGTGTCAGGAGGGTGATCAGTCTTACATCGGGGAAACTAAACAGCCACTGGCCAAAAGGATGGACCATCACAGAAGATCAACATCATCAGGCCAGGACTCTGCGGTCTACACTCATCTCCAGGTCAGAGGTCACTCTTTCAGGGATGAAGATGTTCACATCCTGGACAGAGAGGAACGATGGTTTGAGAGAGGAGTAAAGGAGGCCATCTTTGTGAAAAGAAATCGTCCATCATTAAACAGGGGTGGAGCCTCCAGGTTCAACTGTCCCCCTCTTACAATGCTGTGATTGCTAGTATCACTCAGCCCTCTGTGAACAGTAAACAGCCATCAGGTGCTAATGATCCATTGTTAGGCTGATGGTCCTTCTTGAGCATGTGAGCAGCTGGTTCTGGTTGTCAGCAGCAAACTGGTTGATCCACTCTGAGAAGGTGCTATTTAAGAGACTGAGCTGAATACAGCACCTCAGACTGAGGAAGTCTCTCGGATGAGAGACGAAACGTTTCTACATTTGTTTTTTTGAATGTCCAGAGGACCAGATTTAACTTTTTTTAGATTTTTCTACGTGGATTATTGAGCATGCATCAGGATATTTGTAGGTTTGAAGTAGGATGTTGAATTTTATTCTGGATTTGACAGGGAGCCAATGGAGAGAAGCTAAAACTGGAGAGAGCTACAGCGTGCGCTCTCAGGACATCATTACCTGCAGTGTTCCCTCGATGAGGACTGAACTAGACAAAAGGACCTTCTCCTACTCCGCTCCTGTTTCCTGGAATATCTTACAAAAAGATTTGAAGCTCTTGACCTTTGACCTCTCTAAGTGTCTTTAAGAATCTGTTGGACACCTGGCCGGGACCAATGCTGACATGTACCTGTTTTTAGTTTTCTACATTCACCACATAATTTAGCTGTTTTTTTTTTGTTACCTTTTTCTTTTAGCCATCCTATTTGTAAAAAAAACAACAAAAAAAACTGCAGTATGACTTTTTATAATTGTTTATTGTTGTCCATTGTTGTCATCTTTCTTTGTTGAAATCAGGTCTCTCTTGTAAGTGAGTCCTCGAGGCTCAATGGGATTACCTGTCTAAATAAAGGTTGAATGAACTTGATCTCTCCCAGTAACTCCAGTTAAGACTCTGGCAGCAGCATTTTGGATCAACTGAAGATGTTTTAAAGAAGTATTTGGACACCCAGATAATAAACCATTGCAACAGTCCAGTCTAGACGTGACAAATGCATGGACCAGTTCTTCTGCATCATCTTTAGATCAGATGTTTCTAATGTTAGTGATATTACGCAGGTGGAAGAAGGAGGTTCTAGTAACGTTTTTAATGTGGGGGATAAAAGACGTGTCCTGATCAAAAATAACACCAAGATTTTTAACATTAATGAGAGTTTGTAGCAGAGATCATATCTCTCCAGTTTTAGCTTCTCTCCATTGGCTCCCTGTCAAATCCAGAATAGAATTCAAAATCTTACTTCTAACCTACAAAGCTCTCAACAACCTAGCTCCATCTTATATTACAGATCTTATTGTTCCATCCATCCATCCATCCATTTTCTTTACCCGTTTGTTCCATTTTGGGTCACGGGGGTCGCTGGTGCCCATGTCCAGCAATCACTGTGCGAGGGGCGGGGTACACCCTGGACGGGTCGCAAGTCCATCACAGGGCCACATAGAGACAAACAACCATTCACTCTCATTCACACCTAGGGACAATTTAGAGTTACCAATCAGCCTAACATGCATGTTTTTGGACTGTGGGAGGAAAC